CCGAGGGGAGTGGGATGGCAGCAGCTTCCTGGCACCCCTCGGGAGCAGCGGCTCTGATGGCAGCCAGGCATGAGCTGCAACTCCACCAGCAATGGCCAAACAGCAGACAGGCACTGTGCTGGGTTAAGCTGCTACTGGTGGGACGCAGCAGAGCAGCTCAGGGACATGCCCAGAGAGGCAACGTGACAGCAGGAGCTGCGTCAGCCGTGCCCACGCTCCCCAAAGTTGATCCACCCCACTGCTCAAGCCCCATTCCCACCAGGCACAGAATGAGTCTGAGAACCAGCAGTACACAAGCCACACCTATTGCTGACATCTCAATCAGTATTGTTTAAAAACAATTTGCTCCCTCCTGCCCAGCCCCCTGCGTTGTCCATAGGCTATCATTTGCACGAGGCTGGCTTTTGTTTTGCCACAATAATAAAAAAATGCTAACAACCCCGTGTGAAAGCATGTGGCTGCAGACTGCTGGAAACACCAGCTCCGAGCAGCACAATCTGTTCTTCTGCTCTGTGGGATGCAAACTTGGAAATGGAGTGGGGCTGATGCACACAGGATGCAATAGTAAGCTAACTGATGGGGTGCTGTGCTAATTGCATTAGTCATTTATATCTTGAACTTGACTAAATCTCAGTGCTTATCCTTTTGAGTGCAGACGCACTCAAAATACGTAATATTTGTCTATGTGCAACCATTACAAGCTCTGAAAAGGGATTGATAGGCACAGGAAAGGAGCTGGGATTTGGCCAGTAGGGTGAAGGGTGGAAAATAAAAGAGCCCAGTGGGGGTAGCAATGTCACCACACGTGGCAGCACACAGTGATAGGCAGGGATGCTCCTGCAGTGGCTCCCAGGCACAGAATCACAGAGCCAGTGAGGACGGAAAAGATCTCTCACATCCCCAAATCCAACCCCAGCCCATCCCACCACCCCACACATCCCTCAGTGCCACAACTCCGTGGTTCTGCAATACCCCCAGGGAAACTGAGCCCACCACTCCCTGTTCCAACCCTGATCACTGCACCCTGGGAGCAGGCAGTGGGGCACAGAACAGAGCACTGCATCCCACCTCAGCCTCGCAAAGCTGCCGAAGCCCTACAGCCCCGCTGCCCGCTCCGGTTGGCACAGCGTGGCTCAGCTCCATAGGAGCGAGGCCTGAGGCATTAACCTGCCTTGGAGAGGCATCGTTGCTTCCAACCAGCATGTCTCAGGCTTCAGAGTGTGAACAGGTAATGGAATTGCGGCAACAAATAATAAAAAGAGGAATGAAATGGGAGGCAGCCACTGGAAAAGAGATCTATCCGTTATCCCGGCCTGAAGGGTAATGGGTAAACACAGCTCTCAGGCACTGCCTGGCACACAGCTTGCCAGCACGGGAATAATAAACAGCACAATTATAACTGCTGCACTCCGAGGTTTCGAAGAGGAGGAAAAGAAATCAATAGCGTTAATTTAACTAGTTATACACTTAATGTCTGTGGTGCTGCAGGGCAGCAGGATGGCCTCGCTGGGGCTGCCAGGTGCTCCCAAAGGGCCGTGCCAGCACAGTCCCCGCATGGCCATGGTGCTGTGTTTGCCTGCCTGGTCCCACAGCACCCATGGGTGGGCACTGGGTGAGCCCTGGGTTGGGGATGTCTCCAAACGCAGCTTCTGTTGTGGCTGCCAGCACACCCTGCTGGTTTATTAAAGGCTGAGAAGTGGAGAGAGGAAGGAGCGACGGATTCAAAATTAACTTGCCAAACTCCCATTAATATTACGACAATTCTCTGCATCGGTTCAGTGACCCGGCGTGCTGCCTGGCAGCAGCAGTGAGGCTCTGCAGCAGCACACACACACATGGGCACCCATCTCTCTGCAGCCCCCAGCCAGCCCTTCGTGTCCGTGCCACCTTGGGGCACATTGTGGTTCTCTCTCCCTTCTCCAGAGCAGTGAGGAAGTGCAGCTCCGTTTTCCATGCAGGATTCCTGTAGGCTACAAGGTTGGGTTTGCAGAGGGAATGGAGCTGCAGGAAGCTGCTTGGCATAGCACAGCTTGGCCCAGCAGCCCTGCATCCCCTACAGCCACCCTCCCTGGCTATGAAAATGTGAAAGCACTCAGTGTTTAGGAATTTTTTTTGCAGCAAGGGAGCATCGCCACCAATCCTCTCCCCACCGCAGCCACCAAATGTGTACCCTTCTCCTCCCTGGAGCCATTTCAGTCACTTCTCTGCCCCATCATCTAGGAACTTCAATGCATCAAAGCTTAGGAGGGCTCACTGGGGGACCCCCATGGCACGACAGGTGGACAGGAGCTGCTCCCTGCTTTGCAGGGTGATGCTCTGGGTCAAGAGCCAGAAGCTGCAACAGGCAGGGAGCAGGGCGAGGCGCGTGGGCTCCAGCATCCCATTTGCCATGCAGCAGTAAGCTAGCAAGCAAAGCTTGCTCTGCGGGTAGTAATTTGGGTTTTCTACATATTAATGGCATAAAAGCAACAGTCTGAAACTGCAAACATCTCTTAAACAAAAATCTCTATTCCCCTGTGGCAAAGAGATGGCACCAAGCAGATAAGGAAGTAACAAACAATCCATTTGGAAAATCGTCCCCCGGTGATTTGGGCACCGTGTGGAGTTCAGGCTCTGCCCTGTTGGGAGGCAAAGGGGGGAAAATCGCTCTAATCTCATCTTTAGTGAGTTGGAGCCAGTGCTGAGCTCCCAGCTAAACCCAGAGGTGTGACTGGAATAGATCAGCTCTGATCCCGTGTAGTTATGAACACTGCACAGCACTTGGCCAAAGAGAAGGAAATGCTAAAAATAGAAAAGGGTGCCCAGAAAACAGAAGTGCCTGCAATAAAACAGCAACAGCAGCAGCAATGTGGAGAACTCCTCCAAGCAGAAACCTCTACTCTCGCTTCTCCAACAAGTCTGCTGAGCAACTCAATCCACTACAGACAAAACAACAGCCAGCAGCGCTCCCCCAGCTTGGCATCTGGATCGCACTGATCTGTACAGTCCCATCCAACCCAAGCCATTCTGTGCTTCTATGATCTCTGCAGGCTGTTGAGTGGCCGAGGGACCACCCAGCCCCGATAGGGTGGAAGTGCTGCTGTAACTCTAGGGGCATTGCTCAGGACACTCTGCGAGAGGCACCGCTGCCTCCAGCACAAAGGCTCCCTCCCAGCACCACGCTGACAGGCCGGGCGGATCCAGAATATCCTATTTATTAAAGACACTGAAGATGGAGCAACATGGGAAGCAGACGCCATTCAGAGAACTGTCACATCTGCATAGCTAAAGGATCCCGGCGGTTATAAATCCCTCTAAAATACTCAGCCCCTTGTTCTGATAGCAGGTTCTTGCTCCTACTTTGCAGAAACAGGCTTTTAATCCCTGGTATTAGGCAGCTTCCTGCTATGTTTCAAATGCACCAAATTAAGGGCTTCTCTAACAGCTGGTGTCTTAATGCTCAGAGAGGTTCTTGAATATCTATGAAAATCAGAGGCAAATTACATCTTTTAGTTAATAATTTCTTCTCCATTAACCTCCTTCTCTTCCCTTGTTAGGGGATGATGTAATGGTGCTCCTACCGCAGAGCCCTCCGGCACGCCGGGCTGTGGACAGATGCAGACGTGCAGGGAGGTGAGCCCTTCTCATTGCCCCCCGAGTGCTGGAAGCCCTTTGGAAGCAAAACTTGTGGCTTCAGAAACGAGGATGAGTCTCCAAGAGCCCTTTCTGACCAGGAAACCTGTATGTTAGAGCCACAGGGCTGGGGTTGGGGTGCCCCATCTGAGCTGGGCAGCTCCCCGATTTGGGAAGCTTACGGACCCCTCACACCCGCTCGACCTTGGAGCTCATGAAACATTTCAGCTCTACGGATCTCTGCTCTGAAGGACCCACAGACCTGCAGCACGAGAGAGGGAGAGAAAGCAGAGAGGAGCCTGCAGGGAAAATTGCCTTTGCGTGCTGTCAATTCTCACTTCCAGCAAAGGCTGCAGCTCTGTTGGCTCCCAGCACTCTGCTGGCTGCCGCTTTCTGCACGCCTCGCTGCTGGTGGAGCCCGTAATTCATCTGCCATCCCCGGAGCAAAAGGGCAGAGTTCAGTGTGAATTCATAGCTAGGAAGGCTTTCACACTCAGCAGGGAAAGAAGTACCCAGCAAAGCAGCAAGGCCAGAGGCAGTAAGCACCCACAACTCAGCTGAAATCACAGGCAGCAACGAGGTCTCAGTGCCCGAATAAGGACAAAAACCTTGGTGTGCTGCAGATGCTGCACAAGAGTGAGGTCTGGGCAGAATATGGGCTGAGCGCTCCCAGCTGAGTCCTCTCCTGACACTGCTCAGCACAAGTGCTATGAAATTCATAGGTCCACTTAGGTTTGCATCCACTCAAAATGTGGCTACATTCAGTAGAGGTGAAAAAAACTACACGGAAGCCCTTCTCTGCTCTCCCGACACCCAGGATCACAGAACCATAAGGGTTCAAAAAGACCTCTGAGATGCCCAAGTCCAACCCCAACCCACCCCACCATGGTCCTGACCGTGTCCCTCAGTGCCACATCTCCACCATTCTTGAAGTCCCCCAGGGGCAGTGAGAGATACTGCCAGAAGACACCCCGTGATACGTGACACTCATCTCACTTCACTTTGTCAGTGCTGTTTCTTATTAAGCCACTGCCGCAGCTTCTCCCAGAATTCACTCCCATAAGGCAATTCTTTTTCATGGCACGTGTGATTACATGGCAGAACTCATTGCAGGATGTGGTGAAGATGGAATATATCAACACTCATGGGACAACAAGGCAGAGAAGTCCATCAAAGCACCTGGCCAAAGGGACATCCACCAGCACAGGGAAATCCTATGCAGGAAGAATGAACAAACAGGAAAACCATGCAAGCCTGCTGCCCTTGTGCTCTCTTCCCCAAATATCTGCTGGCCAATCTGTCAGAGCTGCTGCCCCTGCACCACCAGACCTTGGTCCCATCTGCCCACCTTGGTGCTCCCCTGGATGAGAAGCAGAGTGGGGCCGTACCTGAAAGTCATCTGGAACACCTGGCCCTGGTTGACGTGTTGGCTCCTGTTGTTGTAGCCGTGCAGCATCTCCCCAAAGAGCGTGTCGTTGAACTTGGCATCCGACTTCAGGCACTTGGGGCCCTCGCAGATGTCGGACAGCATGAGGCAGGACTTGCCATCAGGGGCCAGCTTGTACTCCTCCACACACCTGCAAGACCACAAGCGGCATCAGAGGGACCCTGACCTCAACCAGACCCCAAGCCTGGATCCCTGACCTGGATCGAAACCTCAGCCCCTGGGAATCACTCCATGCTGCCGAGCAGAGCTGAGCACATCACTCCTTCCCACAGCCCCCAGTGCCCTCTGATGCTGCTACAGTGCTCTGATGCTCCCCAGCCAAGAGCAAAGCCAAACCTGGAGCTGCTTCCCCTTTTTCCTCACATCAGTGCTCTCCTGCAAGGACACAGCTCTAGCATGGCTGCTCCCTCGTTCCTTGCTCCTGCTGTCAAGCACCGTGTGGGTAAGGCAGGCACTCACCTCCCACAGTGAGGGAAACTGAGGGGCAATGTGATTCAACTACAGATACCTGCCTTGAGCAGGGACTGTGCAAAACCAAGGGAAAAGGTCTCTGCCCTTGGGGACAGATGTCTGAAGTGCCAGCTCTGCCCTGGTGCCTGCTGTGGGCTCAGACAGAGGCCCTGTCCTGCACTCAGGCTCCCTGACCCTGCAGAGGTGGTGCCCATATGGCTTTCCAGCCCCCTCTCAGGCATGACAGAGGCAACGTGCTTTCTGCTGGTGACTCAGCTGCTGCGTGATACCAAACAATAATAATAAAAGAGAAAAATAAAGGGGGGGGGGGTGGAGGAGAACAGCCAAACAGCAGCTTTTTGACATGGCCAGCTCCTCCTTAGGGAGCTGTGCTGCACCCACAGGTCACCATCACTTTCCCATTCCTCCCTGTGCTTCTGTCCCACTCTCCCATGAGAAACTCCTTTCCATGAGACCCTTTTCCCCCTCCTTCACCCCAATCCCTCCCATGAAGGCAGGGACGAGGCCGCTGCCAGGTGTTGGCACAGGGATGGATGCACAGCCCCAGGTGGGACGAGATGCTGTGGCTGATGGATGGCGGCTGCTGGGGCCATGCAGAGGGAAGGCTGCTAAGCATCACGCTGCCTTCAGAGCATCCTGCAGCAGGGGAGATTTTCCTGAGAGCAAACGCTACGTTGTGTAGGATTATAGGATCGCGGCCAAAATCAGGGATGAAGCTCTATTTTAAGACAGTCACAAGAGCAGGGGGAAAAAAAAAAAAAGGAAAGAAAGAAAACGAATCCTCCACCCTCTCCCCCCTCCCCTGCAACACGCAATGTACAATTTCTGAGTACGTTTGCAGTGAGTCACAGATCCAACCGTACCGTCAGCAGAGCAGGGTGCATCTGCTCACCCCGCTGCCATCGCCTGTGTTTGCTTTTCCCTCAGGCAGAGCAGGCGCCCAATGGAAGTGAGCTCTGCAAGGAGCCCTCCTGCTGGGCATCCACCTCCTGAGAGCACCCGCATGAGAAATGGGAGCGTGGGGATGGGGGACTCACCCGCAGAACATGAAGATGGTGCTGGAGGAGGGGTCGTGGGGCAGGGGGAGCGTCTGCTGCAGGCAGAGCTGCTCACAGCCGCCGTTGAAGCCGTCTGAGCAGTCGATGCCTTTGGAGTAATCGTAGCAGCCGGTGCCATCCTTCATGGGCCGCAGGTCCTCGGGGCACTGCGGGGAGAGGGGACACGGTGATGTTACCCCCAGATCCCCGTGTTCGTGTGGTGTGGCCATAACTGCTCTGCGATGGAGGAGCGGGGAGGACGGGACAGCAGCCCCAGTGACTCAGGAGTGCTGGTTCACACAAGCAGGGACCTGGCACTGAGTTTCAATTTCAGCTCTCCAGCTGGCTTTCCTTGTCCCAGAAGATAAAAGCCAGCAGGCAGCAAATGCCATCAATAAATTGTCACCCAGATTAAAGCACTCTTCTGCTCTGCTCCCGTTATTTATCCCTTCTCACCAAACGTGCGGGCGCACAAACAACAACAAAAAGGCCAATCCTTGAGAAAATACATAAATCTTGCCGAGGAACAGCTCGCAATTAAAAATGCATTATGGAATTTCTTGAAGATGAGTTAGACTGGAGCTCGTACAGGTAGTGATGAAGGCAGGTTATAAATGGCCTCTGTCAAGCAGAAGAAAGGTTATAAAACCACTATGCTTCGTGCTTAAAAAAGAAAATCAATTTTCCATGTGAGCAAAACGCTGTACATATTAATAAAAGTTCAGGAGCCCCTGCACCCCGTGTTTGCTGTCATGGGAAGGGGCCAATGGTAGCAACCTGCTGGCACAGGGTGTGGGGGAAGTGCTCTGTGGGGAAGGAGGCAGCTCCTGTCCCCTCTGAACACCCGCATCGCTCCCAAAAAGCTGGGAGCAGGAAGCTGTCTGGCTGCATACACGGAATAAATATGAAGGAGGAGAGGATACTCAGAACAATCTGTGCTTTTTGCTGCTGAGCTGCCTGGGAAGCAAGATCGAGATAAGTGTGGTTGTGACTCCGTGTACACCATACTTATCTACTGCAGGCTCCCCTGCATCTGCGGCCCCAGGGTACAACGAGAGCTGTGCAAACTGGCAGGGACGCATCTCCACCAGGACACGTGGCACCATAGCAGTGTTCCTGTTCCCAAGCCAGGTGTGTGATCCGGCACTGCCTGGGGTGCCCTCAGGGATGCTGATGGGAGCTGCCAGGAGCTGAAGTCAGCAGGCTGAGCTCTGCACCCTGCCCAGCCCACAGGGCAAAGCCATGGCTCTTTCCCTGGGACTGGGTTAGTGGGACATGCAGGGCCCTCCCTACCTCACCCTGCTCTACTCAAGGAGACCCCTTGGGATGTCCCTGTTTGGCTTTTAATCACTAGCAATCATGCTTGGCTACTGTTTGTAATTGTGCATCCTAATATGCATTAATTATGGCATGCTAATAGCTCAGCACGAAATGTGCAAACGAAAGCATCCCTGCATCCGTCCCCATCCTGGCCATCCAGCAGCTGCTAATGGGGCTCCCTGGGGACAGAAAGCTGTGCTCCTCTTTGGGGACAAGGAAATGGAGGCAGCATGCAAACCAAGCAGGCACAATGCAGGGGGTGAGAACCAGCCCCAGGGCTGGGAGTTTTCTCCTGCAGGATATCAGCAGCTCCAGCAGAAAACAGTGGATGGAGAGCAGCTGGCACAAGGAAACTTCCTGCAGGTCTGCCTGTCCACCAAGCAAAGGATTTGCAGTCAGGATACCCTGCTGTTAGAACAGAGAACTCCAGAGCCCATTTGGGTGCCTCTCTGCTCTTGCCCACAGGCTGAGAGAGTCAGAACTACCCAGAAAAAACACTGTGTGCACCAACCTGGCCTCCCTGTGCTCCTTACAAAAACAGCACTTGCTCTGTGTGTTCTGGGCTTTTATAAAGGACCATATCTACTATTGCTGACATTGATTTGTCTGGCTTGGGCAGCAGAGAACCAATAATTACGGAGAGTTTTAATCAATCCCACATCAATTCAGCTGCAGTTCAATTTGTGATCTGCCTTGGCAGTGACACAGGATGGGGGGCTGTGTCTGAAAATGATTAGAAAATCAATAAGTAACTCGGCCAATAATTCTGTCTGTGAGCTCACAGATGACACGTCCCACCCCGTTCCATTGGGGAAGCCAGCATGGAAATTGAATTTTCTGTTGGATCCAGGGAGTCATAGGAATCCCAGCACCCACCAGCTCCAGGGATTCCCTTGTTACATCAGCATGGCTCATGACACAGGTGCTGAGCACCCTGACCTAGCTGTGTCCCTGTTCATTGCAGGGAGTTGGACCAGATGGCTTTTTGAGGCCTCTTCCAACTCAAATGATTCTAGGATTATGATGGAACCAAGGGATCTCACTCCAGTCTGTCAGTCCATGCTTCATGGGGATACGAGCAACAGAAACCTCGCAGTGGTGCTTGGTCCAGGCTGCAGAAAGGAAAGAGGAGGTGGAGAGAGACTGCAGCTTGCCACTGCCTTGGAAAGCCACAAAGGCATCGCTGTGCCAATGCAATTCCAGTGTCCTGCAGATCCATGTGGGTCACTACAGGAATCACAGAGCCACTGAGATCAGAAAAGACCTTTGAGATACACATGCATGAACGCGCTGGTTTCTCTGTGATGATGGCTCACTCTCAAAATTGCTCTTGGGATTGGAAAGAAAGCTGAGCTTCTTGTTTCCCTGTGCATTCTCAAACAGTTAACACAGATTCTGCAGACAGAATGTGACAAAGCCACAAAGCCACAGCCCAGCTCCTGCCAGTGAATTTGGGAAGGCAGAACCGAGGGCAGCTTGGTGCATGCTCTGCTGATGGCACGGATGGACATCAGCCCACTGTCCTTGTTTGCACCAGGCAGAGCCCGAGGTCCTGCTCTTTGTCACCGCTGTCAGCAAAACAGACTCCAAGCACACGCAGGGAGCACAGATGCTGAATAAGAACACGCTATTTTTACCTGGTTCTCAGAGCAGCGTGCTTTGTTCCCTTTGAAATGATGTCACCAGGGTGCCATGGAGCGGCAGCGGGTGCAGGACCGTGTGGTTTTGGAGACCCCAAGCTGCTGAATCGCTGGCCCAAACCAAACGGGATCCCCCTGACCCACACTGTCACCCCATCAGGACCTCACCAGGTGACAGGACATCACTGTGTGACACCACGGAGCCACCTCCTGCCAACCAGAGCCTCATCCTCAGCCAAGGCAGGGCAGACGCACTGCGAGGCAGCCCCTTCCCAGTGTAAAGGCAGCCAGCATCCACCACCATCTGCACAAGACTGTTGCTTAGGAAAACATCTATCTGGATTGTTTGCGCTAGTGAGCAAAGGCCCTTTCTTTTCTTTCTCTTTTACAAAGATCATTAGCAGCGAGACGGGCGATGGGGTCACTGGAAACAAAACGTGTGTCTCATTACCGACGCGATTCCTCCCGAGAGGAGCCAGCTCTGCCCAGCACTGCCTGCTCACAGCTCCGCTCCTCTTCTCTGTTATTTAAAAAAAAAAAGAATATTTAATAAAGTGTTTTGGTAAAGAGTAAAGCGTGCTTTTTATTATTCTGCTCTGTTTTCTCAATATTAGCAGCCTTTCTGTCAGGCACTTCTCCCACACGGGCTTCTGCTTCTGCCTGACTTGACATGAGCTGGGGATCCCGTACCTGTGGCATGGAGGTGAGGACCCAGTCCTGCACCCAGGGGGGCGGTGGGGTCAATGGGAGTTTAATTTGCAATGCCAAACCCAACCACAACATGCTCAGATAGTCAGAGCACCAATGGAACAGATCCTCCATACTGGATGGACAGACAGACAGGCAGTGCACCAAACCATTATCCTGAGGTCACAGCTTTCCCTCCTACCCCCCAGAGCAGTGTGGGGCTCCAGCACTGGGTGTGAAAGAGTCCAACGGCACTAATGAACTCACCTTCATTAGACACATTCTTCCTCAGCACTGAAGAACTTCTCCAGTGGGAAACAAAACCATTAATCCAGGGTACTGCTGAGGCACCAGCAAGTGCCAGTGTTTTAATGAGCTTTGAACTATGCGCTGGCATGTATTTTATTTGCTTGTTGGAGCTCAGAAATGATACAAACACATTAAATCCCTTTGTGTCCATATATATATTCAGTCAGCTTTGGCTCGCGCTGCTTCTGCCTCTCTGGATCTGAAGGGGCTTTGTGTGCCCCTTTCTCTCTGGGGCCATCCTTCCATTCATCACCTCCCTGGGCAGCAATGTCCTCACCCCCCCAGAGCCTCGCTGCAGGGAACATCCTTCCCAAAGGGCAACATTACAACCGTTTGCTGAAATAACAGTCATTATCTTCCTACTCTTTTCTCCCTGCTTCGTTTTCTATCTCAAGATCATCAGTCATTATTTTAGCCTCAGAAAATCAAACCCATCTGTTCTGCAGGTTCCAAAGCATGTGCAGTGGTAGCTCACATCCTCAGCGTGTCCCCAGGATGCGTTGCCAGCATATTTTGGAGCACACTATCAGCTCCTGCCCACTGGGGAGCTTGCTGTCCACGACACAAGGGAGCCTGGCACCACCAGAACCCTTTGGGAGACCAGAAATTCAACTACAGATTCATATGACCTCAGGAAACAGCCTGGGCACAAAGTTACACACCAAAATCAAGGACTGAAACCAAAGGCAAGGACCCAAACCAAAGCCCAGGAACCAAGTCAAAGCCAAGGACCCAAACCAAGTGTGATACGACCAGAACACAGAGCAACCCAATCTGCCGTGGTGCAGAGGGAAGAGGTGCCGACTGGTGACCTCTATGGAATGCCATTGCAAAAGCCAACACAAAAGATGGGATTTTATCATCTCAGTCACCTCCTTTCAGCACTGAGACCTCCAGCTCACCTCAGTGCCTCCATCTCGATAGCACCAGGGGTTTCTGCTCCCACGCATAATATACATAAGTAGTAATCTTCTGCTTCGAGGAGCCAGCTAAACTTAAGGGGGATTAGAAGAGAATGGTTTCCTCCTCATGTCCCTCCCCTGCATGTTGTGCATCTCCACATAATTAGCGAGGTGCCTCTTAAGGCAGGGACGGATGAGTTTTTATTTTTCAATGAACAATTGTCTGTCAGAAAATGCAGATTTGATGAAGCTTAAGTGCTTTATGGGATTCCGTCAATTACATCTCAAAATTCACTGGGAAATTAGAACAGCGTTTAATTTTGACAAGGTTGAAATGTTTTGGTTTCCACTGCTTTATTTTGTTTTTATTTCAGGTTGAACACTGGGATAATGTAACATATGACATAAAACTCCAGATGATAATGCTGGAATGAAACATTTCCCCCTCCTGCATAGGACAGAGATGTTTTGAACCAACACAGTCTGGAATTTGCAGACGTGGGGCATTTCTGCACAGTTTTTTGGGGCTGGAACTGCCAACACCCAGTGTCCCCAAGGAACATCAGCTCTCAACCCCACTCACTTCATTTCCAAATGCTCCCATGCTCTCCTTCGTCCCAGGAAGCCCCAGAACGACTTGGGCTGGCAGCAGGAGAGCAGAGAGCCCACTGGCCTTCTCTCACTTCTAATCTCACTTCTCTGTGAATTGGTTACCCTGTGAAACTAAACCATTTCTCTGCAGTGCTTTGCAGCAGCTGAGGAGCAGCCCTTATTTTGGTGTGGAAGGGAGCAAAAGGGGAGGATTAGATCCAGACAGGCTGAGCTCAGGCTTATACGCCTGTGTGGACCATGCCAAATTCTCTTCTTTCTGTGTCTGAAAAGGCCAGGACAAGCACAGCACAGGTGTCACAGTGTGGGCCACAATGCAATTAAGAAACCATCTCCCTCCTGCACACTGTGGAGCCAAACGTTCTCCTAGCTGATGGGTTGTCCCCATAGCCATGAAGAAAAGCAGCTTATATTGTGCTTGCAGCCAAATTGTTTATATTGGAAACACCTTTCTGCTAGCAGGACTTCAGCCTGAAATGATGCTTGATGAGGCATGGTGCAGGAACCATGCACACCAACACGGTCACCTTGCTGGGGTGGCAGAGAAAAGTAATGGGAGCATTGGCATCTGCGAGCAAACCCCAGCCAAGTGACAGGTGGGGAAACCTGAGTTTTAGCCACATTGCAGGTGTTCCCTTCATTCCCTCAGGTCCAATTCACAGCATTTCAACTTAAATTATAAATGAGCAACACGCAAGGGTCAGGCCCTCTCCCTCCTCCTGCATCCTTTCCCTCCTGGCTAGCAGCTACCCACGTGCTGGAAGGAGGGCTCAGTGATATACATTTCTCTATCAGCAATAAATAACCTGTCTTGTTCCTCCCCTATGGTTCCTTCTGGTTTGCTGTGATCCTGGAAGCTCGCACAGCTGCACTCAAGACCCACTGGGTCTAGAGATGCTCACTGGGGTTTTGTTTTCCTTGGGAAGTGATTGTGGCATCCCCTGACTGACAGCAGCTCTGGGTACAGCAAGGAGAAGTGGGATGTAAACAGACACAGAGTTTGGGGGTTGCTCTGCTATTCTGCAAGGTAGAGCTCAGAGCCAAGGCACCATTTAACTGTTCCAAACAAAGGTCACAGCGAGGTGGCAACCCGTGCTTCTTGTAATTACCCAAGCAATAAAAAGCCTCCGATAAGTAAAGAACTGCAGAAGAGCATTATGCACGAATGCCACCTACTGGGTGCAAGGAAAACTAACAGAAAAAAAAACACGAGAAAGGTGAAAAGAGCCCTGTGGGAAGCAGGCTCAGAACCCTGGGTCCGTGCACTGAGGCTTTAATGGAACAATGTGCTCGGGTCTCATTCAGAAACCCAAAGAGCCTCAACCAACACCTGCAGGCAACCGCCCCGACACTTGCCCATGTCCTCTAAAGGCCAAGCAGTTGGGTAATGGCAGGGAATGTTCTGCTGAAAGCCCAAAGATAAATGCATCCTCCATCCTTGCAGAATTACTGGAAGCTGTGCTAAGGGCACGAAGGAACTGGTAACAGATGACGATTATAAATAAAAGGAGTAAGAAATCTTTGAGATTTGTGCTGTTCCCTGGTCGAGCTGCGAGGCTCCAGCTCTGCTGTGTATTAATTGCTTACAAGCCCACATGTATATTTTATGCTCGGTACCTGCCTGGAACATTTGTTGGATTTAGCCTTGATTGATGAACCACTGATTATATACTTCTGTGGTCCTCAGCAAATTAATAAACTGTTGACTGGTAAAGATTAACAGCATGTCATGATTTGAGAAACAGTGTCCAGAGTAAAGCTGAAGAAAACCTAGCGCTAAAATGAGCAGGCGAGTGCTCCCTGAACTCTATAAAAAGGGGACAGTTTAATTAAATTACATCCCGATATTGCCCATAGCACTCACCAAATTGGCAAATTGAGTTCACGGCAGTTCAGCTTTAAAACTAACTGACATTCCTGCAAATGTACAGCAAATGAGCCCATCCCTCCCGGCACCGCGAGAGATGCTGTCACCAAATGACTGTGGCCGAGGGGACACGAGGGTGAAGCTGGGTTACCAACCCAGCTCCCATCACCTGCAAGCTCATCCCGTGCCATGAACACAGCCCACAGGGGAGCCTGGGTGGAGGAACCATTGGTTTATGCCTTTTTTCCCACCCAGGGAATGGCCACGTTTCCTCACAGCGCTGCAATTCCTGGGCTCCTGGGGAGCAGGATGGACCTTGAGGTGATTTCCCCTCCTTCCTGCCGGATGTGTTTTGTTCCCTTTAAAACCAGTCCCATTGAACCATTACAAAATCCAGGGGGGCTGTTTTCCCTGAGTAACGTGGTTTTCAATTTCTGCCTCTCCGTGTGCCGCCGTGGTGAGCGCTGCGCCTGTAATTTATTGACAATTTCTATCTTAATATATCCCGACTTTTAAAAAGAGGCGTCTCTTCCCAGAGGCACAGGGCAATCAGAGCCCCGATTGTTTCTGACAGCGTCTGCGAGGCACAATTAGTTTGCAGAGCAAAATAACGGTGGGGAAAAGAAAAAAAAAAAAGGGGGGGAAAAGAAAAAATAAAAAGATATGCCAGAAACCGAGCCCCTCCCTGGGAAGGGGTAAAGGAAGAGAACAAAAGGAAACAACGATCGGAAAAGAAAGCAGAAAAGGGAGGAATAGGAAGGAGGAGACAGCAGGCGCTGCGGGGCCGGGTGCTGCCGGTGACACATCAGGCTGTCGTGCTAAATGGCCTTAACAAGCAATTGGAGAAGGGGATAATGAAAATGCCGCCCCGGAGACGGCACCACTCCAGTCTGACCTTTCCAGGCTGCTGCCGTGTGTAAACATCTTCAATAAATAAAGAGACACTTAACTCCTGCCTCGGCGGGGGCACGGGCTGAGCCTGCAGAGCCAGGGCTGGGACAGCAGGTGATGTCCCTTCTGCTACAGGCACAGCGGGCAGCCCCACAGACACCTCCCCACCAGACACAAATTCCACCTTATCCTTCTGGCTTTTCCACACCCAATCCCCAAATCCCCAGCCCCAAAGTCCCTAAGGCAAACTTCCCATCTGGGATTCACTGCCAAGAGGGGACGGGGCAGCAGCGAGCACCGCACACATCCATCCCTCTGGGCATTGCTGCAGGCAGCAAGCAGTGCGTGCCCCCAGGCAATGCAGGCAGCAAGCAGTGCGTGCCCCCAGCTGTACGTACCACGCAGCCTGTCGAATCCACCTGGCGATCGGAAACGCACTTGAAGTTGCGGGTGCAGCCGCCGTTGTTGCGAGAGCAGTCCCGGACCGGCCCGAAAGAGGAGAGCAAATCATTGATGGTTTCAAAGTAGGTGGACAGCATCGCTTCTTCCCTTGGAGAGAAAAGGCACCGTTAGAGGCAGCAGGAGGGGCAGGAGCGGCAGCACGCAGCGTGGCACTGCTGTATCTCACCCACAGAGGTGAAATCATGGCGTTGTGATGGAAACCCACCTAGAGGAAGCTTGCCAAGACAATGAGGAGTTTACAGTCTTACTGTGTGTTTACATAATTTGCTGTGTAACTTTGACATCCTTGACCAAAACCAACCTGCTCTGAGTATGCCTACGTCATTTTCATGCAAACAAGAGGCCTTGTTAGCATCACTGATGTGAATCCAACCCCCTACTAACCAACAGTAAATCCACAACAGCGAAACTCCTGGCTGTGCTACACCTGAGCCAAGCCTCCCAAGCCCCACGCCTCACCCAGCACACGGGGATTCCCCATAGGAATTAAAGCCACACAAACTCAGCTTAGTGTTTCCTGGGATGTGGCCGGGGGCCTGGGCTCTGTCCCAGGGCTGTGGGCTGCAGCTCTGTGCTGCACACCCCAGGCACAGCTGTGATCTTCCTGAAGCGAGCACGAAGCACAAACCCCAACGAATTCAATGACCACTGAAAGACTTGAGTTGCTCCCAGCCCTGCCTCGCTGTGCTGCGCACACAGCAGATTTTGTCTGTGACAAAGCACTCCTGCACTTCTTTCTGCTGGGTTCCGGCAAAGGGAATGCAGATGCTTATTGAGAGCTTTAAGCATCTCCAAGGCATTTTTCATCTTCAAAGCACACTGTATGTGTTAACAGATTGCTGCAATGCACCGTGGGCTCCAGATCCGGTCCCCATCTCACCAGCAGTGCAGACACACAGGAGACAAAGCATTTACCCAAGGTCACAGGACAAGGCAGTGATGGAGACAGACTTGACCTCCGCAGGGTATTTATGAGATCATTATACACCGAAGGCTGCAAATAAACATTGACCCTGGTGGCCTTAAAGCACCCATGAGGCAGTGTGGGCAGCCACACAACGCTCTGAGCTTCGCCTGCAGCATCCCCCAGTGGCACCTGAAACCCATGCAATGACCCAGTGCCCACTGGATTTGGGGTTTTATTGCAAAAACCTGGCAAGAAAACAGCAGAGGAAGAATATTCAGCAGTCCCTGAGGATCAGCACCACGTTCCTGTCGGAGGAGGGACTCGCGCCGTCACGCTCACGCACGCAGCCCCACCAACACTGTGCCTCCAAAAAACCATGAGTCAGGCATTGAGAAAAAAAAATGGTAAAGAGATTGGCAGGAAAATGATGAGGTTTTAAAAATAAATCAATCATCAGGAGGGCTCTTTTCTTACTTTGCCTTCTGCTTTCTGAGCCTTTAGGGTGTAACCAAGTTTCTTCCTGAAAACACGAGGGCTCGAAATTATCCAACGACAAACCCAACATAATGAAGCCCTGCGCTGTTTTCAGGTCAGATGTTCAGATTTCCCTTGGATTCTAGAAGGACTCACCACCTGTGCTGCCCACTTTCACCCCAATTAATGTTTCCCAATTAACTTTTCCCTCTCAATGATCATGTTTCCCATATTCCCCCTCTCTTGGCCCATTTCCTAGATTTTGCAGCATATCTGGAGCTCAATCTCCCTCTGTACTTTCTTGGTCATGTTTCAAATGTCTTTAGAGGCCCTTTTCTATTAGCACTCTGTTCCCACTAGAATTTGCAGCTCCTCCAAAGTGAGGCAGTGAGAAAGGCAGAATACATTAGATCAGGGTGCGTATATCGGCGGAGGGCAGAGGGAACAGAAAGGCAATATTATTCATTAACCAAAAATGCTGCTTGTAAACATAGAGAGATATTTTCTTTTTTAAATAAAAATACAACAACCGTGACAACTCTCCCTCCACCCACCTGGAAAGCTCAGCTCCATCTGGGGCCAGATGCTCAGCCCACATCGATGAGGTGCTTGCATAATGCCAAGCTGGAAGCCCAAAACCAACGGCTGCTCGTGCCCTGGGGCAGTGGGAATCTGCTCTTTGACATGGGGCCTGGCACAGCAGATCCCCATAGGTGAGCCTGAACGAGTCATTACACATCTTAACATATTAGCTGCCCAAGGAGGCAGGGAAACACAGATGGAGGTGCGTGTTGCAATGTTCCCATGCTCCTCTGTCTCCCCCAGCCCTGTCCTTGGCGCTCCTGGGGTTCCCACCTGGATGCTGCAGCTTCCTATAGGGGAAAAGGGGTGAGTTTTGCACGGACCTTGCATCCCCTAAGCTGGAGGCCTGCTGGGAAGGAGACGGGGCTGCTCCCCACCAGCCTGGAGAGGACATCAAGTCCTCTAGAAAAGGGTGCTTAGGAGTGCGTGAGCTCATTCCTAATGCCAGCTTCTCCCCACAAGCACATTTCTGAGCCATGCGCATTCCTGCTCCAACTCCCAGCCCTCCCAAACGACACACACCAGCCAAACACTCTCTCCTCTCCACCTCAACCCTCTGATCATTCGCCATGCCTTGGTAAAACCTGCTCTTCTGACAACTTATTTCACAGGATGTGGTCCACGTGATGCTCAGCAGCCCTGCTCTCCATCACCACACAGCTCCTGCACCCACCCCGTGCCACTTCCCATCACCTGCATATTGAATCACTCGAAAAAGCTTTTGTCTTCAATCCCATCACAGCCCTCTGTCCTTCCCCTTTGCTACAGGACCTCATTAATGAAGCAGATTCAGCGACAAATATTGCTGTGGGTTATTTATTCATGAAATATCAACACCATGCAATTCTCAAAGCCTCCAAAGTACTCAACTCTGAATAAGCTCCTGAGCATCACAGTGACTCTTCTCTCCAGCTCATTCTGGAAGGGGATTAGTGGGTGTTGTTCAGCTTAGCTGCCCCTTTTTAGTGCCTGCTAATGGTTAAAGGCTTCAGCTCTTACAGGGTTAAACATAGTTGAGAAAAACAAGGAACAAAAGGATGCCAGTTGGAACTAAGCTTGTGCTTTGCAATCATGCGAGCTTTGCCCTTTTCCCTTTAATCTCTCATTCCTTCAGCCTTCCTCCCTTGGGACATCTCACCTAAGGACAGATTTACCCAGAGCAGGAGCTGAAGTTCCACCTGGGCCAGGGGACTTCATTCCCCCCATGCAAAACACTCTCAGGACCTCATGTGCTCTCAGACCCACTCCCATCCTTTCTGCTCCTTTCCTCTTTCCCCTCACATCTCCTTTCCCTCTGCTAAAGCAGCCATGCTGTTCCTCTGGGGGCTTCCCTGCTCTGGAGCTACAACTGAAGACCCTGAAGCCTCACCCACATCACTTTGTTTCGCAGCTCTACCCACAGCCCTGTGTTTTCTCTTCTTCTTGCTCAAGCTGAGGAACCAAGGCAACAAGCAATGTGAATTAAAGGTGCTTGCCACTGCTGGGTGGCCAACTTCAGATGCTTGCAGTTATTTTTAGTGCTTGTAGCACTTCAGACATTCACAGACCATTCCAGTAAAGCTGCATTGTAGCACAGGCTCAGCTTTCTTTATAAAGAGCCGTGCTGTTAAACACCCAAATTACAACAAGCGTGTAATAAGTAATCGCCTGCACCCCAAGCCAGCCCCACAGCAGGGACAGCCCCACACTGGTAGAGCTGAGCTGCACTGGGAAGGCATGCATGGTGCTGGGAGGCCACAGGGCAGCCCCAAAGGCATTGGCAGCCTTTACCTTACGGATTTGCGGTCAAGCAACGTGTAGATGTTGTACAGAGGGACATGGGCTCGTAGGAAATGTTGGTGATAGGGTTGGACTGGATGGTCTTGGAGGTCTTTTCCAGCCTTGGTGGTTCTGTGATTCTCTGACTTTGCAGTTTTGAACTTCAAGTGCTGCATTTCCTAACGTGGTGCACAACGTGTGGCTATGGAGCAGATTTATTATTTTATGTAAAGAGATGAGTTTCTCACGTACCCACGGGCATTTTTCAGTCGTTCTAACAGTGGTGGGAGGTTTGAAGACAAGCTGTCATCCAGGCTAGGTCCTAAACTGGGAGAGCTCCTCCTTACTTGGGTGACACCAGAGACAGCACTCAGTGGAGCTACCTGTCACACATTGCTGAGGAGCTGCTTACTATCAGTTTTCCTGATAGCACATTTCTTGCAGTAAAGCTATAATAAACACTTGCAAAAAAAAAAAAAAAAAAAAGCTCTCCAAAAAAACCTTGAGGTTGAAAGTGTGAAGCATTTCCTACCACGCTTCAATAACTTGCTGGAGAGTCAATAAAACCAGCGCTCCATTGGAGTGTTTTGAAGCTCGCCTTGGCAACCACAAGGACCAGAAATTTAATTAAAGCAAAACAAAACAAACAAACAGCACACAACAAAAGCAAGCTGACAAAGCCCATCCTGCAATGCACATGTCCTGGGGCTGCTGGGCCATGTTGCAGGGCTCAGCCCTTCCATGCCGGGCACACATCCCTGCTGGCTGTGCACCTTCCCCAGGTTCCTTGTTAGCTTCACCAGGTTCTAATTACTCCAGGCAGGGAGATGACTTTCCCTCTTTTGAAGGTGCCCAACACTTATGAAACTATTTTCTTCCTTTCACACAAACACAGAGCCCCAGATCTCGGTGATATCAGTACAATTGCTCCTAAAACCTCAGCTACTGCTCTCAGCTGGCTGTTCCAAATTACTTCAGAGCAATCCGCTTTCCTTGGTTGACTGTATCAGCAGCGAGAGACAGACATACCTAATTTAGTTGTATTAGCTTCTGTTATTAACTACAAGGGTACCACAATTATCCAAGATGAGCCTGACCCATTTCTTCCCTTCCCTTCCCTTCCCTTCCCTTCCCTTCCCTTCCCTTCCCTTCCCTTCCCTTCCCTTCCCTTCCCTTCCCTTCCCCATTTCACCTACTCTCCTTCCCTCTCCTTCACTTCCCCTTCATTCTTTGTGCAGCACTATTCCAAATTTCACTTGCCAAGGAAGAAACTTTCTGACACGATTTCTAACAGTTCAAAAAGCTGCAGCACACCAGAAGAAAAGCACAGATTCAACATCTTAAGAAATCAAATGGCAGGAAATGG